ATACAGCTGCAGCCCTCCCCTGCCCTTCCCTCCTGCTCGCTTTGGGGCTACRTCTTCCTGGCTTTGTACCAGCACACGAGGCTGCTTCGTCTGCGGTTACTTGCAGAATCTGAAAGGGCATCGAGTTGTGAAATCTCCGAAGGATGAGGAGTTTGCAGACTACCCCTCGGCATGTAGCAGCACTAACCCATTTGTTTGCTTTGCAGCCTTGGACCTCATGCCTCAGGGCACGAGTTAACTATCTCCAGGGCCCTACAGGGAGGATTTTTCCCCTCCTCTGATCTTTCAGCAATGACAAATGTTGCTAGATATGTCATGGAGTTATTTCATCTTCTTGAGCATCAGTTACAGATTACAGGAGTTGAGACATTTGTGTACTTTGGTACAAACTTTACTCTGTGTGGTATCAGTACAAGCCTGTTAAAACAGTAACTAGAGCTAAAGCAGCCTGGCAGAACTTGACCCATTGCTCATTTTGGCACTTCAGATAGGAAATTATTTTGACAGGATTGTTTCCAAATACCAGCTTAACATTATTGTAACAGCTCTGGGGTTCACCAGGCACAGTGGGACTCTCCACTGCAACCTGCAGGATGCATTTRAGGTAGCTTTTAACTTGTGCAGCACCAGAAGCTGCTTTATCAGCAGTTTTAATGGCTGTGATCTGAAAGCACCAACCTTGAGCCCGCTGTGACACTCCTCATGCTGCTGCTTCCCCAGAACTGCTGCCCTCCCTTCCTCAGTGCAAGTCATCTAAAGGGAAACGGCAGCTCCTTGTCGCCTGGCTGGCCTCGTATGCATTTGCATCAGCTTTGCAAATAGAAAGGTGAACTTCATTCATCACCTGCCACATGAAATCCTTGTCAAAGCAAAGACTGCTGGAGGGCACCAGTTTTTTATGGCTGGAAATTCTCCTGGGAGCACAGTCACAAACACCCTGACATATGAATATGTATATAATTTCATCTGGTGAGACAGCTAACACTCAGATGGAACAGAGGCACTTTGTCTCGGCTAGATAAAAGCCAATGGACTGCACATGCGTGACCCTTTTCCCTCCGTTTGAAGAGTTCAAAGTCCAGAAGAGATCACTGCCTTTTATTATGGCTAAAAAGGCACTCAGTTGCTGTGCTTGTCAACCGAAGCATATATATTTATATGGAACTGGAGCCTACAAAGTCTCTCTGCTCTGAACAACATCAAATCCTGCCTGCTCAGTCGTGCTAGCAGAGGGGTTAGCAGAAAGGGGTATTTAGTTAATGAAAGACAGGGCAATACATCAGCCTAGGAAAAAAAGCAGATGGAATTTCATAGCACAGCAAAGTACCTTAGTGCAAGAGTAAAGCTGAACCTGCCTGGTGCATTTCTCATCCTTTTGAAGTATCATCCAGTCATGGAAAAAAAAAAAATGACCAATTTTTGTCACTGCATGTCCCCACATGGATGCTTAGCTGCTCCCAGGCTTTGGAATACCAGATAGAACAGGAAAAGGAGTTCAGATGTGCAGAAGACATGAGATGAGCTCGCTTAAAGCGGGAACAAATGCAGACAGATGCGTCCTGCAAAGTGAGGCACCAGAAAGCAGAGAGAGGCCCTTTGCTCACTTAGCTGACAGGGACAAAACTGCCACGTTTCCTCCAGCGCACCACCTAGTTAGTACGTGACAAGAAGAAAGCCCAAGTAGGAGGGAGACACAACATTTGTGAGGCATAGCTTAAAAAGAGAAAGAATTTGCTGTTGCAACTGATTTCCAGCATGATCCACAGACCAGACCAGTTTTATCCTACATATATCAACACAAAAGGGGTTGTAGTCATGAAATTAAGAGCTGACTTCTTTTACATTATGTCAAACATCTTTCAATGCACTGAGCTCTGCCCTTTGCCATTTACTATATGGCCAGGAGGATTACCAATGAAAAGGTAAAAGCTCTGCTACTGCTGTTCTCTTAACAGCAGCTCAGTAACTTGGCCAACTCTGAAGCCCCTTTTGATTTCTTGAGTATCGAGACAGTGACTCGCTCCCAGGAGAAAAGCAGCTTGAATATAGACAGATAAGGCACAAGGCTTTAGAAACACATGCAAATCAAGTTACATGAGCTACTTAAAAGATGCTTATTTAGCAGTTTCAAAAGCATAGTATTTTATACAGACAACCCAAGAAACCCATCAGCAAGACTTCCTAGAAAGATGACCAAATCCCACTGTTGTTTTAAACGTTAAATCCATCAAACATGCCCATTCTGGCACTCAATTAGCTGCTTTCTCATTTCAAATGCAGCAGGTCTACAGTGCACAGCAACGTAATTATTTATACACCCCTATCATTGCAACTGCTGCCTGGACTTGTAAAGCATCTTGATTACTTTGCTGATGAGCACCATAGAAATGCCTATAAATAAAATAATCATCTCCTTTCACTACGTTACAGCGCACAGACCAGGGCAGGATGATTTTCCTTTGTACGTTCCCTTTGTAAATCAGCATTTCACAGAGGGAGCAGCACAGCTCTGATAACACTCAAGAGATAGACTGTCAGGGTGTTTGTCATCACCTCCTATGTGAGCAGCTTATGTATTTACATGAATATTTTCTCCTGGAAATAATGCTYAATTCTAGCAAGCTTCTTTAAGAAMCTCTTTCTAATAGTAGAATCAGACATGCAAAACCTCTTTCTAATATCATGTCCCAAGCTCAGACACTATGGAGCAGGATGCAGTGGAAAATCTGAAAGCAAACACTACACCCACAGGCTGGAGACTTCACATCAGCTTAGCTTAGAACACAGTGAGGGAAACCTTCCAAACAGCCAAAGCCTTGGTGGGCCAGATTTGCTCCTCAGCACACTTAAACACTAAATGATGCCACAAATAAATACTAAGCATTCAATTAATGTCAAACCACAAGTAATCTCTCTTCATGCACGTACACTTGCATACAGTGAAACAGGGTAGGAAAGATTTGCATCTCCAAGGCCCTAGGAAATACCGTATTTCCAAAAATGGTGAATTATAAACTCAAAGCAAGCTAAATATAAAAATTTTACTCAGACTTTCAGCAAAATCAGATTTCTGCAGCAAAAACTCAGAATGAAGCCATGACATTGCCACAGTGAAAGCAGTGCTGAATTAATAAACCAGTCACTACATGGGCATCAGAGCCTGATGCAAGGAATTCAAGGTTGTTGCCTATGCCAGAACACACCCTGTCCCTTGGCACAACTGCTCTTGACAAGCTGTAGTTTGACAGCAAGCAGYGTCTCCCAAGTCTCTGCTGAAGAACCAACACAAGTCAACAAGCYGGTCCAGCCGCAACTGGAACTCAGTTGAGTCAGTTGACTGGTCTTCCTCCCAGTCAGAGGGGGAAAGCCATTTGCTCAGGTAACCTGTTGAAGATAGATGAGAGACAACAGTTCTGCAAAAGCTCACAGGGAATCACCATTTCTGCAGGCTGCCCACAGCAGCAGCTCCCCTCCACCTCCAAAATGCTGCCTCTTCTCAAAGAGCTGAGACATTTTAAGCATTCAGTTAAAAATCCTGATCCAGAACTGCAGGTTCACCAGGACTCTGTGTGTCAGCATGGACTGGCAGCCACCTGCAAGTCAGACCCATGTATTAAGGCCTTTGTGAAGGAGCTCTGTCCTACCTGCACGGTGCTACAGTTTCTCACTGGGCTGCTGCTCAGGGATCCATTGATGCTGCCCCTCCTGTTCCTTCACCTCTGTTTCTTCCCCTACCATCTCCAGCACTCCCACTGCATCACTGTCACTGCTTATTTATGACACAAGACCACATCTATGGACAGGTCAGTGGGGGAGTCACCCATCCATGTATAAATTAGGTGAGTTGTGAAGTACAAATGCCAGGTCAAGACAAATGGAAATACAAGCTCTGACAGGCACAGGAGATATTTGTATTTCTGAAACTACAGGAGGCTGCTWATGCACAGGCTGTTAATGCTGAGACAAAGCATGACTAGTAGCTAGTGTGATGAGCTGTATTCAGCTCCCAGACGCTGCACCCGGACCTTTAGGAGCTAGTGCCCAGTACTGGAAAGATGAACATCTTCCTCGGTGAAGCCTGCCTAYTGGTCAAACAGTGCCTGGTTTTGGCAGGGTGTTTCAGGAGGTTGCATGTGAATGATTCACTTCAGAGACAGAAGAGGGAGTCACTTCAAAGCAGTAGGAGCAGTCTCTAGGGTAGCCAGTGTCCAGCCCACACAAGAGCTGTGCTGCCTCTCTCCAGAATGAGAAAAGAAAAATAGCAAAAATAAGACCCTCCTTATGTTACAAGAGACACTGAAACCTACTAAATCAAACAGTTTTCCTTCCTGGTCCCCAAAACATACCTTAAACATTCCTCTAAGACTTTTCATAGATACAGTAACCGCTTATTTCTCTGCTGCTACTAACAGGAGACAGATGTTTCCTTCAGTTGCAGGCACATGTAGACACAAAGCACGTTAGAATAAACTCACTATGTGTGACACAAAGCCCTTTTTCCATGTTAGTTCTTCRCACATTTCACCAAGAAAATGCACCAATCCTATATTTTTCCTGCTGAGTACTGAGCTAGCCAGAATAAAATGCATAGATTATTATCCTAACTAGCCCTCATCGGAGGGGAGGAAAAGTCAAGCAACACATTTTCACTTAGTAAATCCATAGGTTGAGAGCTCCCGTGATTACTTGAGAGCCAAATCAACTGGTGGCTGTGAGCCAAACTCCTCATGTTAGTTATTTAGGCAGCCTGGAAGACATGCACTGCACGCTGGCGTGCAGGACAGCATCCGTCTCAGACGGTTGGCTGCATTCTTGGCTTGATATTAATATCGGTGAAAATTTAGTAACTTAACCACTGGCATGAGAAATCTGACTTCTATAAGAACAGATGGCAGTGATCATCTCAGGTTTATTTCAGGCTTCAAAAATTTCTGAGTCAGCAAAGCCCCAAAATAAGAGAAAATAAGAAAAAAAAAGACAACATCCTTAAAACCTCCTACCTGTTTGCCATCGAGAGTATAGAGCTTCTTGACGACTCCGGTCTCCAGCTTTATAGCTTCAGTAATGTCGGTGAGAACTTGCTCAAACGAGTGGGCAGTTTTCTTGTTCAAGAGGACCCGGACGGCCTTGCGGGGCTTCACACCGCTGCGGATGATGGTGACCAGCTTGGGACGCACAAAATCTTTGTTCTCCTTCGCCTGGGCGCTGTTGCTGCTGGCCAGAGACTGAGGCGCTTTCTGGTTGGCAGATGTYTTCACGTTGACAGACCAGTTCGGGTTTACATTCTTGGTGTATTCCACCTTCTTGAAGAAATTGTCAGATGAGCAGACGTAACTCTCCCCTTTGGAAAGAAAGGAGCACAAATGTAATTGCACAGGTTTGATTCCTAGAGGGCTGCTGGAAAGAGACACTGTGCATTTCACCCCACTAAGTAAATTAATCATTGTTTCCATTAGACTTGCCATGGCAATTTGTTATTAAAACATATTAATCTTAGAATAGCTATGTTTATTAAAAATACATCTAATGTTTCCCAATCAACACACAGTCATGACCCAGGGGTTAAACAAGATTTAATTCAATCTGTTTATGTACCTGATGATGCAATTAGGTTGTCTAAAAGCTCCTAAGACCTAATTCTTTTTTTTTTAAATAATTATGCCAACTTCCTTTTGCATCTTCRCATATCCAGCTACTACTTCAGTCCATCATCTCTTGCCAAGAGGGTATCAACATTCACCCAAAAGGTTCCTTTGGTGTCATGCCTGAGAAATGACGGAAATCTGGTACTGACTAATCTCTACAAAAAGCAGCTTTGATGAATCTAGCAGGCCTAACAACTAACCTTTGTGCTGTATCAGTGGTTTACCAGAAGACACCGAGATAAAATGCTATACCATTGCTTCGTTAAAGATAGCTTGCACCAATGAAAAATATATATCAAATTCAAGCTTACACACGGTATAGAAGGGTAAAATATTAGACAGTCAAACTTATAATTAACACAAACTATCCCCACCCCATCCAAAGGCAGTTTGAAGTTTAGTGCACTATTTACAGCATCCAATCTACCTTAGGTTTGAAGGGAACCATAGGACACAAGGATTTTTAAGACAGTCTTTTGGGCTTGCAAATCTGATTGCACACTCCTCAAACATTTTACTAGAAGGAGACTGTGAAACAGTTTCCCTAAGGGAATGTAGCTGTCTAGTCTGAAATGACTCAGGCGGCTGAGCACTCGAGGATGCACTGAAAAATAAAGTCATTGGTAGGGTAAGAAAGCTTTCTTTGTCTCCCCATTTCATACAATTTTGATGGAAACTGGAAGCATAAGACAAGCACCTATAGCTTTTTCTCCCTCCCTTCCTGAGGGGGGAGGGGAATTATTTTAYAGGAAAAAGCAAAATTCTTCAAATATTATGGTAGATTTGAAATCAAACTATAGAACTAGCTATTTTGAATGAGAAAAATCCTCCTTGATGCAGAGGCTGCCTTTCCTTGTTACCTGCTATGAACTAGACATCTACAAAAAGCCTGGCTCAACATCCAAGTCTGATTTTCCTAATATGATGTCCAGGACATTTAATACCTATTCATCATGCACAAAAATCATGCACTTTCAACCAGCCTATTGGCTTTCACAGAGAACTTGAGCATCTGGACATGTATTAGATATCAAATGCCCATATAGCCATCCTTCTGCTGACTAAATTGTATTTGTGATAGAGTCACTAAGACAACCCCTTCATAGGGCACAAAGGCTACTAACAGGTATGGAACATATAGCAGAGCCTTTAASATACTTAGAAAATGCAGATATGTAGCATTTACATCTTTATCACCACATACTGTTTAAGGTCACAAAAAAATGTCTTTTTTTTCCCCCTGACTTTACACCAGTTTGCTCGAAGGCAGCAAGTACTCTTGGTGCTTGCACCACCAGCCACCTGCATGAAAGGACCAAGACCATTTGCCACCAGGAAGCAAGTTATCTGCTGTCTCTTCTGAAGGACAAGCAGTAGAAGAGAGCTAAGGTTTACAGTGAGCATATTTATCAATTGGGCATTTTTAATCAACATACCCCAAACTGACCAATACAAAAGCCCATTGGAAGGTTCTGTTGCCTTTAACTCCACAAATCTAAATTCAAGGCCTGTAAGCAACCAACAGAACCCCTAAACAAACTGACAGGGCCRTATCTATAGCTGAAGCTCCTCAATGCCTCACATTTCTTGAGTTTGACTCTATAGAAGCATAAAACTACCCCATGGAGTGCTATGCATCATGATGAATTCCTGCCAGAGATATTGCTTTCCAGAAGCATCAAATCCCTTGAATCTTCTGCTTAATAAGTGATAAGTTGTGATTTATTCATCTGTTTTAGCCAAGCGACATCTGGCATAGAGGGGCCCACACTTCTCCCCGGTTCTACAGCTCAAGCGTCAGGTGGAAGGAGTTAGATGTGTTCGTGGGGAATCAGCCCTCCTCAGCACCCAGAGCCTTCCCTGCCCATAACCCCCGGAGAGCSGTGGCAAGAACACACAACAGAAAACTTTTTAATCACACAGAGATGGGATTCCCATGTCTGAACGCCASGAACTCTTAACTGACCTGCATCTCATCTTCCTTATCTGAAGGACGGAAGCACTGATCTGCCACAGAAAGGTTGCAAGRCTTAACTTTCACCTGTGTTTACACAGTGTTTTGGGAGAGAAGACACTAAGATGGAAGAAAGTACATATTTATACTGGTCTATAAACACATGAGGTCTTAGAGTATATTTTCCATAAATAAGTTCCTCGTTTTAAAGTAAATGGTAGGGATTATTGCTCTGCTTGGTAGAATGCTATTATATTTATGTACAGCTGCCTCCTTTGAAATTCTTCCCTATACTCGGTAGTTGTCTAGTATATTTATAGCAGCATACACTGAAGGCAAGAATGGCACGAGGGTAATATTCCCTCATAGGCTTTGTTTCCACAAAGGTGGCATTAGGTAGCTGTATATATAGACTGGCCTTCCAAATTATGCCCACAATCAAGTGGAAAATGTAACCTGCCCTTTCTGACATTGTTTCATCTATCCCCTAGAACTGAATCCCTAGAATTTAACCAAAAAATTGCTAAAACTGGCCAGCAATGTGCTGGGCATGGGGCACAGCTCAGCAGCTCGCCACGCCAATGGTTGTACAGCTCCAGGAAGGAGGCCCTGMCTTCTTCCCTGACCTGCAGATGCAMCCTGAAGTGTTCACTGACTTCAAAAATGACTGCAATTTATGTCTTCTCAAATTCAGGCAGTTTATAACCTCMAAATAATACATACGGCAAGTTCTTTAGTGAGGCCCATCCCATCTCCCATTTGCCTACCAGGAGTATATGCTCTATGTTGCTCCCTCCAATTGTATTTTATTCAGATCTTACCATGATGTGGTAGCAGGATCAGGCAAGCACATCCATAACTTGCTAGTCTTGAACACGTGTTCTATAACCAGAAGGTCACTAAGGACAAAAATCCTATGGAGACCATCCCTATCAGAGGGAGAGAAGGCTTCTCCACTACATCTCCATCTGTGCTAAGGCTGTAATGAGGAGTCAAGGTCTCTGTCACCACGCAGTCACAGCAACATATTACTATGATGGGCACAGCATGGTTATCAGACATGCACAGCATAACAGGGTGGGGAGGAAGTGCATGGAAAGACTCAGAAGCAACAGAAGAAGCCTCAGAAGCGCCCGGCGCACCAGCCCTGGCTGGGTTAGCCTGCACACACTGGCTGGGTTAGCCTTAGATTGCAAGAACAAGCCAGCAGGCTGCAAGCAGCTCTGCACAAACCCAGCCGCAGGCCCTGGCCCTGAGGATGCTGCACAGCCATTTTGTTGCTTTCACACAAACCCCCAAATGGCAGCCCCAGAGAGMCACCCTCCAACAGGCAACCTCACCGCACACCTTACCAGTTTGGGTGTCTAAAGAGAGAGAAGCATCATCCCAACAACATGTAATCCACTGCCAAACTCCCTATCATCAGCGCCAGGGAGAGCACAGTGCCAAGGAGAGCACTTGTGCAGCTCAGCGCCAGACGCGCYGCCCTCACTGCGAAGCCAGAGCTCCGTGGAATGAGGTGCGCTTGGCTCCATGCCAGCACGCYCCGGAGGCGGCACTATTCCTGTCGTGCCATCACGCCACACCATTGATTTATTCTGGCTACGATGCCCTCAGCAAGAGGTGRACTGACTGTACAGCTTTGAACTTAAGTCACAAGCAGCATATTTGCTGTTTAAAGCCAGTTTGTATCATCCTGAATTACTCTGTCTGCAAGCTCGCTACCCATTACTCTGCAACGTATTTGGTAGTAGCACAAGGAGATTATTCTGCTCCTAAAGAAGGGATGATCTGAACCCAGATAAGGTTTGCCTTGAGAGAAATTGTGAGCTCAAGACACTAAGTCTTCAACCCTCTTACAGCAGCTCCTTTTGACAACACTAAAAATGACAGGCTGCGCTTTCAAAAAAGTTATCCTCTTTCAGCACGCAYGAGCAAGTTCCACAGCGCAATGAACTGTGTTTAAGAGTCTTGCAGGAAAATTTGGGAAAGCTAGATTGAGGTCATTTCCAAAGTGTTAACAGTTATTCAAAAAACAGGCTGTGGGCTGCAGCGTATTTTGGTTGTAAGCTCTGCTGTCTTACAGTTGAGCATTTTATATTGTGCCCAGCTTTCACATTTCACGGAGTTTACAACCGCTTCAGTAAGAAGTGTGTTAACACCTTGCAGGAGCTTGCTATGCTGTGGCAAGMAAGGCTCTCATTCCTACAGCATGAACCTGCTACTACCTTATACACTACAGATGATATTCTGGTTTCATGACCAACTCCACCCTGGCACCACAGATCCAGGGGAGAGCTTGTTTCCTTCGGCTCTTCCAGGAGGAAATTGCATGAGTGAGAAGCAGCCCTTCTGCTTATAAAATGAATGAAGTGCATGATTATTAATTGCCTTCAAACACACATCATGCCCAAGCCACATCAAGACACATGAGGTTATCTACAGGGACCAGTATAGTCCAAGTACAATAGATAGGAGCAGCAAATAAAGCAGCGAGCTGCAAGCACAAGCTTTTGTATATATAGAATTTAATTTGCCAAGCTGCCAGGCTAACGGCCACACCAAACACTCCTCACACACACCACAGGTCACTCGGTATCTCAGAATTAGACGGCAGCTTTCCAGGCAAACTGGAACATTTGTGCACTGGGTGGAGATTTCCATAGACTTCCTAAAGCCTCAGCGCATCCCAGGCTCTAGAGCTGCAGGGTGGAGCCTCTCCTGTGACTACTTTACATGTTCCTGGACAGGAATTTGGAAGAGATTTCCTGGAGCATGATGGAATATAAAAGCTTGGAAACACATTCTGGAACATCTCACAACCCCAAAATATTTGCAATTAAATCCCACTGAGCAAAGCAAAATCCTATTCAATTTTTTCTAATGTTCAAACCGAAGCAAGAATGATTTCTGGGAAGATTGGAGCGGTCCAGTATAAGTCAAGGACAAACCTACTAGATGAAAGACCCTCAGGCTCTGAAGCACCACAGGGTTGTGCTCTGCCTACAGCTTGGACACCAGGAGCTGAGAGCAGCCCTGTACCTTCCCCTGAATGTTTTAAGTGTTGCTTCTCTCAAGCACTAGTTCTAATCTTCTGTACAAAAATTCTGACTTTATTCTGTCTAGTCCATGCTGGAGACAGCAGGTTAGGACCCAAGGTTGGGACAGAGAGCCCAGAGCAACGTTTCTTAATGCATCTCTGCTCCCAAAGGCAACGTATTCCACTAGCTGGTGTCTTCATCCAAGCTTCTTCAATGACAAGAATCACAGCTTATGTACCTCTTGGCAATGGATCTATGAAAATGTGGGAGTTGAAAATGAACCAAGGAACAAGGCATCTTACTCTAACATCAACTGCACTGTCACTGGAAAAAATGGCACTATGTTTTCTAAGCACCTTTCATTTTCAAGCTTTCCAACTGTACAAGGATCAGAATCAACCATTACAACAGTGGCTCAGCAGTAACGTATTAGGGCTATGGAGGCTGGATGGCAGTTCAGGGACAGGTCAAGGTGCACTTGCACAGCAGTGTCCTGGTGAGTAATCTGATCAGAAGAGTAGGAGACATCTCACTTGTTCCATTTGTTCAAATGGGAAACTCAGCATTTGCCCAGACTCTTCCGAGAATGACCTTGGATACCACTGCTCTGTGTGGAAGTTTCCCAAGGCCAGGGCTGGAGGCCAACAGGATTATTTCCAAGTTGCACTGGATTAGCAGCACACCAGATCTTTGTGTTCACCTGACAGGCCTGCTGTCTCACAGACATAAGCTATTGTTCAGCAATTCTCCACCCTACACAAACGTATCCTCACTACATCATGCTTTAATCACACAGATGTAATCAAGTACATCGAACATGACATGAAATATTAATATCAGTAATTCACCAGCTACTGTAGCRCAAAGTACTGAGACTAGCATCTTTGATGGCCTCTTTTCCTAGGTTCCACTTGTTTACTGGAAACTATAATAATAAATTAGGTATAGTATAGAAACTAGTTCTGCTTTAGATAYCCTCATTATCAAACCTCCAGTGACCACCAAAGATTTATATAGCACCACTCCATCCTTATGTGGTTTTACACATGAACCCCAGTGAAATGACTCCCAAGTTGTGTTTTTCCACACATGTAACTAGCACAGTCACACAAACAAGCTGATAGCACTGGGAACCACAAGGCTGAAATCACACTGTAATGACAAGCACTGCACTATAAATCACCAGCCATGGTTCTCCCAGGTTCTTTTCTGCAATGGCCAAGGTGCCCATTGCTAGAAATACAGGAATGGTGACACTATTAAGCTGCATGGAGCTCCTTGGCATTTTTTGCCACCACATTCCTTTGTTTTCCCTCTACTCCCGGGTCTCTTGGCCACAGAACTGGSATGCTGCTGCCCACCTCAAAGCCCCACGTCTGCAGTGCTCAGTTCCCAGGCACCATTTTGGCAGAGCAAAGCCAGACCCCATCAGCTCCTGCCGCTACCTCCCCACCTAAAAATCTTTTCACAAATGAGAAATCGACTTGCCTGCAGCACAAGGCAGGTACGATAATGGAAGCACCCCACATGAGTGATAAGGGACTGCAGGGAAAGGGGCTGTGGCCAAGGTCACCCGGTGACTGGGGCTGCCTGATGCTCACTGCTCTGCTCTGTTGTGCTTGGGTAAAGCCCTCATGTTCCGCTAGTGTCACCAAGCGAGCCAGGTCACCTTATCCACGGAAAGAGCACACCAAGGGGCCGGGAAAGCAGCTCTCCTYTCCGACAAAGCAACCGGAATATTCCGGAGCTGAACAAAGGACGGAGCATCAGGATGGCTGTGGGGCGGGAAAAGCAGCTCCCATGCACGTGTGTGGGTTTCAGCACCCCCAGCACAAACCCGCAGCACCCGAAATCCCAATGTCCCTCTGCACCCAGCCCTCCTGATGCACCTCTGCACCCGCCAGCACCACAACCTGCTCTGCAACCCTCTGTCCACCCAACACCCCTCTCCACACAGACTGTCTCCATGAACAAGCACACATGAATGCCCCATCCCCACACACCCTGCATGAACCCCAACACACTCCACATGCCCACTACAAACCCACCCCCCCATATATCCCTACCCCCACACCACACACAACCCCCTAGCATCCCCTCCATATCCCCAGACAAACCCTGTACAACCCCCAACACCCCTTCCACACCCCTGCAATCCCCCAACACACCCCTACGCACTGCACCAAGCCCAATACCCCTTCCATATCCCCACACAGTCGGCCCAAACTCCCAACACCCTTTTCCACACTCCCCCACACGTGCTGCATTAGCCCCCTCACAACTGTACACACCCCCTTGCACACACTGATGAGTCCCCCTGCACAGCCACTGCAAAAACCCTGACACACCCCCCTCACACACACTGCACCAACACTGCTCCACACCACCATGCACACACACTGCAGAAACCCTCACACACCCCCCAACACTGCAGGAACCACCTCCTGCACCCCCACTCCTCCTACACACACACTGCCTGACCCCCTGTACACCCACACATTGTATGACCCCCCCCCAACTGCATATGATTTGTCTCAAAATGCCCTTTTCCACATGCAGAAGCAGCCCCCTCCCTGCCTGCAGCTGTGACCCTGGTCCCAGGGGACACTCAGGGCTGGACACAGCCAGCCCAGAACCCACCCCTCCTGCTCTGCACCTGAGCCAGCACCAGCAGGGCTGGGGGAGGGACAGACATTGAGATAGCCCCCCACACTGCCCTCTCAGCCCCTCCAGACCAGCCTGGAGGACCCGAATGTCTCCACACCAGGAGAGGTGACCTGAGGGCAGTGCCCTCCCCATGTCCCCCGCACCACCCGCTCTTTACCTTCCTCCAGCTCATCCATGCTGCCGATCTTGCGCGAGCCATCGATGGTGTATATGTACCGCACACCCTGYGGCAGGTTGATGTTGTCCGACAGGGAGCGGGTCAGGTCGGCCAGGAGAGCGTCGAAACTCCGGAAGCGGTCGGAGGACACGGCGTACACAATCCCCTTGAAGTAGCGGTCCCCGTTGCGATAGAAACGCACCTTCTTGGCCTTCTTCTCGTTGCTGAGCGCCTGCAGGGTGCGGGTGCGGTAGAAGCTGCAGTGGGCGCTGTGTGTGGGGCTGGGCAGGCCGTTCATGCGGGAGCCTCGCATGTTCCTGGACGCCTTGTCTCTTTCGTCAAAATGTCCAAAATCAAGTTCCATAGTTTGGGGAGCCCTAGAGATCGGAAGCTGGGCGGGAAGGAGAGGGGAGGAAGGAGCACGAAGGGGGCACGTTAGGGCCAAGCAGAATCAAAGAGTGCTCAGAAATCTCACCCTAGCACACGAGCGGGACAGGCTGGGGAAGGGGCCCCTGCCCGGGCCTCGGTGGGTGTCGTGCTGGGGCGGATGCTCCTCACATTCCGGGATGCAGCCGGAGGCGGGGAGGGCGGCTGGAGCGAACAGCCTGCTCATGCACCCGTGAGTTGTCAAAGTGCAGGAAATTGGGACTGGAGCCAAAGGAAAACACAACGACTACCGCTCAGCCCCCAAACCTCCCCCGGACATCAGCTGGGAATGCAGTGAACCCCTGAGCCCCAGGAGGTTTCCTTTGGCAACCCAAAACCAGGCAAGCTCAGCGAGCTGGCCCTTCAATCTGGCAAAGGGTGAAGGACCCAGAGCATCAGAATATTTAACATGAGAATAAATTGGCATTTATGAAAGGGTGGCCATGGGGGACCAGCCGCTCCTTTGTGGCCGGCTGCTCAGCGAGGGCGGCAGGAGCGCCACCCTTCCCCCTCTGCAGCCCCCTCCTCGCCCATCAATCACTCCCCGAGCAGCCCACAGCACCAAGGAAGTGCTGCAAAGGAGAGGCTGGCACTGAAAGGAGGCTTCCTTAAGCTTCCCTCAATCTGAGCCTCTTTGGAGTTGCATTTCTGCTCCCATTTAATGAGGGGGAGAAAATAAAGGGCTCTCCCCCCCTGCTTTTTGCCCCTGCAGCGGGTGACGTGCCCAGAGAGCGCCCAGGGGCACCCGTCTTTGTTCCCGGCGCCAGGAAAGCCGGGCACAGGCTGGCACCCACCAAAGGAATATTTCCCCAAGAGCATTGTTTTTGCTCAGGATCTACCTCCCTCACCCACCAAACCCTGACACAAAAGGGGAGACTCCTTTGGTGCTGGAGGGAGTGCCTGGCACTGCCAGCAACATGCCACTTGCATCTGCCCGGTGGCACCGTGGTGGCAAGAGCAAGATTCACACTCAGCACTTGGCAACCAGGTGCCTATGCAGGAAAAGCTGTTGCTATCCCTTTCCCACCCCTCGCGTCTGCCAGAATGGGGCTCCCTCCCAATGTCACCACAAGCGATGCAAGATGGAAATCATTGTCCCCAAACCGCAGCAAAGCCGAGGGTGACAATAGAGGGGACCTGCCCGGAAAAGCCCCACAGGGAGCAGCCCCCACGCCCGCGCTGCGGCAGAGCCGGCGCGGTGCCGCACACTGAACAATGAAGCGGCCGTGCAAGTTGGGGAACGCGCCGGGGATGCGGCTGTTTTGTTTTAAAATGAACCGCAGATGCTCTGAGGTCCTGCGAGAAAGACCCCCCTTCCTTCTCACCCCCGTTACTTTTCTGCACACAAGTCACTAAAAAGGCTGTCTACTCACCGGTTTGCAGCGCACAGGGTGGAGATGCTGAGAGAAAGAAACCCAGGCTCACTCTGCCTTTGTTGTCTGAGCTCCAAGCAAGAAATTCCTGCCAGGGTGGATGAGACTCCTCCTAGGTCCTAGTGCCTTGTTCAATCCCTTCGTGGTAACTTTGCCTCAGTTTTTATTCTCAGTCATCTGCTTGCACTCTMCCCAGCTCTGTTTGAGAAGAAAAGGATATGTTCATTCCAGCTCTGGATATATTAAAAAGATCGATAAATAACAAGTTTAAAGGAATAAATCTTGGGGTCCTGTTCGGAGGGAGCAGGTTCCCCCTAGACTCTAGCTTCACCCAGAAAGCATCTGGCCCCACTAAAAAAAACCAGCATAATTAGTCGGCTGTGCTGCTCTTGCCGGATTAGCACRCGGTGAGGTCACAGCTGCAGCCCCGCAGCGCGCTGCGGTGCTGGTGCGCGGAGCCAGGGCACCGGGGAGCAAGGGCTCGCTGCCGCGCTGCACCCACCGCTGCTCCTAGAGCGGCTCTGCGCAGCATTCCTGCCTGACACTGGCAAGCCAAAAAGAATTAACAYGGTGGTTCTGCATGCCAGCGCCCCTGAACAATTCTTCTCCGTTAACATTGGACATGGGCCAAAACCAGACTGCTGAATCCCAGTCCATTCAAATCTCCACAGGAGTCCAACTCAAGTCACTTGGTAGAAACACAACCAGAATCAGCCTGGCCCTCGTCCCAAACAAAGAGAAGTTTATTTCTGATCTCACTGCAGAAGGACTTGGTTGGCAGGAGATTGTACCAGGCTCTTCCCTTGAGACAGTGAAATCCTTCACCTGCTTCGTGGGTGGACACTGCCAGCCAGGGGAGCAGCACCCCGCTCCGAGCCCCACTGCTGGTCCATCTTTAGTCTAGGAAGCACCAGATCATGGAAATGGGAGGATCTTACCCACGGAAGGGACTGGTTCCYAACAATGCTGCATCTGTTTTGCATGAGAACCCACAGATTTTGTCATTTTGGCACATTATGTTATTACACATTTGCTCAGAATTTTTCAGCATTTATTCCAGCTTTGTCTGCCTTGCACATGGTAGTCCAGGCAGTGCTGACACCAGCCCACGGAAAGCTCATCATCTTTGTTTCCTGGCAACTTTCACACATTGCATTTGTAGAAGTGTTCCTATTCCCTGAAGCCCGTGCTCTCTCATTTATAGAGGGCTTCCTTGTGTCCTTGCTGAAGCCGTCAGCTGCTCCAGTCCAAGCTTGGTGGCATCACTGGTGAGCAGACAGCAGTTCACCTCTCACCTTGCAGAAATTAGCACGTAAGGAAGGCACAGGATCTCTGCTCTCCAGGGCATGCAGATGCACGAGGCAGATGGGACTTTAAGCCCTCTCCATCCTATTCCCAGATTAGATCATGCCTGGCCATTTGTGATCTGTCTTGAATTAACACTATCCCTCTGTATAACAGTTCTGTTGTAAATATAAATTCATATTAAAATGGAAAGATACTACAGAAGTACTAAGCAGGATAACAGCAAAAACAGAAAAGGGAAAGCAAATCTAGTCTTCAGCAGTGCACAAAGCTTTGGTACAGAAGAGGTAGACTGCATGGGACCACATCCAAGTCATTGGATACTGCTGCAGGAGACCTGGATGGATGATGTCAATCCCTGTAGCTATCAGAACTGCAAAATCATTGCCGAGCTCTCCAGTCTGGATCATAGGAAATATTCCAAGGACTGCAGTGGTCTCATAGCACATCTCAGCTTCCTTCCACATCTGAACTTGCTGGTGAGAAGATGAAGCACATGGAGGACATATCCGCTCCGCTTGATTTGAGAAACACTCTGAATTAAGCAGTACCCACCAAGACTTCGTTTGTTCCTTACTGGAGGATAAGGTTTCTCTAGCCAATAACTGCAGGCTTCATCTTGGATCTCACCTTAAATAGATGCCCAAATCACCTTCAGTCCCATTGTCCTCCTTTAAATCTGCCATKAGGCAATAAAGATCTCAGTAGCCAAAGCATCACCAGAGGCAGTGAGCCCTGGTGTGATCTCAGGGATTGCCCTAYACTTACTACTCTACAAGTAACAGAACCTCCTCCTCCAGACACTGTCTGGGTTGCTCAATATGGCAGAAATAAGCCCAGGTTCCTGATGAGGCAAAGGCCTGCTCCTTCAGAAAGTCTTTGCATTTCACATCTGGTGATCAGGTCCAAGAACATCTCCTCTGGTCCCAAGGAGTTAATGCTGGTCAAGATTTTATTTATATCAGAAAAGACTCACCCTCAAGACAATAGCCTAAACCATTTTAGGCAGCACTGAGTGATTGAGAATTGGAAAAAGTCTTTTTCCTCCCATCATAAAATYCATCTAGCTAAAGGAAAGATAAATTTAGCTCCTCAGATTAAGTTATCTGCTTTAAATCAGGTGAATCRTCTTTACTGCAGGAAACAAACCATTAATCTTCTGCCTGGAAAACTAACTCTGCAAAACAAATTTTTGTTGACATTGCTGAGCAACCAGGATACTTTGGGAAGGGAGAGGCTGTGCAGGTGAAAGGGATTTTGTGGCTGCTTCTGTGCCAAGTCCCACACATACACCTAGAAACCCCAATTCCCATCACTGCAAGGATCTGCAGTACTAAGTACTCCCTTAATACCCACTTGCCCTGCTACTTGGCATCCTCACTGCTATCAGAAATGTGGCACAACTGTAGCTGTCTTACCATTAGTCTTGAGTCATCATTTTTAAGTCAGGCTATTTAGATATGTATATTTAACTACTTTTTTTTTGTTGTTGTTTTTAAATTTAACCTCAGTTCCTAACCTGCTTTGAAAGCTTCACCCCAACCACTGCTTCCAAAGTTTTGTTTGATGAGAATGTCTACACTAACAGCCCCCCCACCCCCGAGTCGAGACTGGGGCTCTGCCAAATGTCTCAAGTAATGCATCCTAAAACTAACAAGCCCAGACCACACTTGGCTTCACCCCTGCAGAGTGGTACGTTTTAAACCTGAATCTTCATAAGTGCTCACAGTCCATCAAAGAATTATCCTATATAAGACCAGAGAGTTAAATCTCCTACATGATACTATGAGCTAATAAGCAACAGGGACTTGGCAGACTTTCACTACATAACATTTGTTTCCTTCAAAGATTTATTTTTACAGGGACCACACACATCCAAAAGTCTTTTCAATAGCCATGCTGGTGTGCCAAAGTCAGCTGAGCTGCTGGGGACATGAGTGAAGGAAAACCTCACTGATCATCAGGGCCCACCAACCATCTTCAGAGGCTGCTCAGACCCTGAAGTCAGGGAACTGAACCTGTTTTACAGCATGAATCACTGTGAACCCCAGAGGCAAGAGCTGGAGCACTGAGGACAAACAAACCCAAGCTCCCTGGCACAGGCTCCAAGGCCACCTCCAGCAGCTGGCCAACATGGGCCTCCTCACTCCCATTCCTCCACACTGGCAGCCTGCAGCCCTGGGAGACCCCTTGGTCCTCACATGAATCTGATAAAGTCTGGGGAAAAGGCCTCTACATCCTCTGCAGTATCAACCAGAGGGTGCTGCAAAGGAAAACTATTTTCTGTATGGATAAGTAAGTTTTAAGTATCTGTAAGTGATGCAATTCAGTCACTCACTGAAGACATTCTCATTGCATCTCGATATAAGACTTAAGTCATCCAAAAGAAAAATACCTTTTGTACTACATTTCACTGACTCATTCCCTCTCTACTACAAGCAACAAATACCACAATTAATAAGCCATTCCCAGCTGAAAGTTAAGTCCTTGGAACAAAAAAATAAAGCACCACCCCAAGCCCACTGAGTCATGACAAATCCAGTGGGCTTCACAAGCTGAATGTTGGTGGCAGTTCAGTGGCAGCATTTTCCCCAAGCAGCAATTTGCAGAGCTTGCAGAAAGCTGTGGACATCTGCCACATGGCTCATCTCCACCCTGGAGAACTCGCAGAACCCCAGAGGTTGTCAGGAGGCTTTTTGCTGACCCACACTGTGGGTGATGTATAGTCTGCAAGCCCTGGCCAAGGTCATGAYGAATGGAACTGCAGGAAATCCAGATGTCTCCCTTTGCTGAGCTCACCCATCAGCTGCATCATTGTAGTGAGGAGGTTCATGGCCAAAATTTTAAACAATTTCTTGATAAACATAGATTATACAGTAATTCTAACTGAACACCGATTACCAGCCTCTCACAAAATGCGTACTGAAAGTAACGTGGGTTTGAGGGACTTTTCTGAACGAATAAAATCACAAAGGAAGAATCTCAAAGCCATCAACAGGATCATGTCATGTTCAAGTTGGATATGCAAGTGTTTCCTATCAAACATAGATTCTTTCTGTCATTTAGTGACAGATGGAAGGTGACACTGGAAAGGAGACCCAAACGGCATGTCTTATGACCTTAGAAGTCTCTACAGCAGACTACTTCAGACTTTACTTACACCAGAGATCCCACTCAGCCAGCATCTCTGCATCAGTGTGGCCACAGACCAAGCCCATCAGAGGCTGCAGGATTTTAGTAGTCTCCTACGCAAATAGCTTCTCATTATCAGCTAACAAATAGGTGCAACCTACAAGACTGAAAGTTTAAGCAGAAGCCAAAAAAAAAGTCTTTGGTGGCCTTAGGAGATGTTAAGTGGTTTTGAGCTCTGACAGAATRTTCAGCATTGTGTATAACAAACTAATCACAATAGGAGGGTAAGTTATACCAACTTAGAGTTGACACCTATTGCAGGCTCATTATTAACCCTGGGGTTAAAAGAAAACTAGCCATCCTGCTGAACAGGCAAGGACTATGGGCCTGCAAATGTTGCATAAATACCTTAAGATCAGGATCAGAAATCAGGTAGAAGTTGGAGTTCAAGGGCTCTTGGTTTTGAAACACAACTCATTCCTGTGCCTACAGAAGTCTCTGAACTAGATAGGACTGCTGAAAGGAGGACATAAGGGGTCTAGACAAGTCTAGATTCAGCCCCACGTAGTCTTTGGAGCAGGATCCGCACTGGCAGAGGGCTCAYGTGCTGGTACAGGCAGTGTTTGTGCCAGCACATCTGGCCCTGGCTGCAGCCCACAGGTGCCGGAAGCTCCCAGGGAAGCTGCTCRGCCCAAGGAAACCTGCCTCTTGGCAGAGATGAGTAATCAGTATTTAGAGCTGGGATTCTGGCTGAGCTCAGCTGCTGTGCAGCTCAGCTACACAGCCCAAGTAATTGGCATTCAGCTTGCTCACCTCCTCAGCAGCTGCGGTGGAGGCAGCTCACAAAGGTTTTTACACTCTCCAGGAAAGGGAATGTTCTTGTGCTGCTGTTTTGTTTTCAGAGAATTCTTCCAATTCATTTGTATCCTAAAAATTCAGGGAACAGTAATAAATGTGTTTTTTTTTCCCCCCTACGGCTGCAGATGCCGTTTAGCTATATCTCCATTGTTCTTACCCTGCTTATCTGCAAGGCGGGTATTGGCCACCTTTGTTTTGCATCTGTGTTGAAATTCAAAGATAAACTTTGTAAGGAACAAAAAAGCTCATTTAGCAGGATTAAAAGAAAAGGTTTATCCRACCAAAATCTCACACAAATTAGAATTCACAAGCCCAGCCACAGACTGTTGTTCAAACATTGCTGAACTGAGATTCCTTGTCTGCATAGCTGCAGTCTCACACTGTAGAGACATGAGCTCACTGCAGGCAGAGTAGAAAGAGTAAAACACACTAACACACCAGATCAGGACTGACATCTTCAGGCACATTCCTCCATTAACAAGAGCCAGCAGTAAACTAAGCTGAACCAAACCAATTCTGCTCCCCCACATTTATTAGCAGCCTTTGCAAGGAGTGGACTCCCATGGGTTTGAACCCGCAACGTCCCATTTGCTTTTAGAACAACTCACCCCTGAGCACTGCGAGCATGGAAAGAAGGCAAGTTCCACACACGTGGTGACTTGTAAAGCCTAGGTTTTATCTTTAGGTTATTCCAGCCCTGTTTACTACAGAGCAGCTCCAATGCAAGATAAAAGTTACTGAATACTGCTCAGGGATTACTCATTCTTCCTCATTACAAAAGGCTCCCCATCCGGAAAAGTTTGTGAACCAAGGCTTAAGTGAAGAGGAGAGCAGAAACTACACCAGACCATCAGGATTAGCATCTCAAGGTCTGCATCAAGGATCAGAAAAGGGAATCCTGCTCTCCCACCTGAAGGTGCTTTCTGCACTGGGGATTCAGGGAGTAATCATGGGGTAATCAGAACCAGCTGAGCCAAGACTCAAATTCAAAGACAGCAAGAGATCAGGCACCAGCTAAGCAAGCTTCTGGTTTTGAGTACTCAGCTCCAAGCAGTTATTGGTCACCACAGAGAGAACTGGAGCCAAAATGCAGCTATTTGAAAGCCACAAAAATAATATGAATATTTCCTGCAACCTCAAACCCACTCAAACCCACAAGCCCTTGGAGCCACTTACCATTGAGTGTGTCATTGTGCTTGTGACAGTAATTCTCCCCTCAACATTAATTTGATGGCAGCCTTTACATGGTGTGTGTAAGGAGCAAGATTTTAGTGGCTCAAGTCAAACTCAGTTGTTCAAATGCTGCTGTGGGGCTAAAAAAAAAATCAGGTGCAACCCTCATTAGCTATAAGCAAGAATCAGAACTAAACTTTCCCAAGGGCATAGTGGGCAGTAACCAGGCGCACTGCAGGAAGAAGACAAGGCCATGAATTCTGATTACTACTTGACTACGCAGTGCTCCGCACTGACCTTCATCTCAGGGTCAGGAAAGGTTTTAATGTTCATGGGTTTTACCAAGTAGCCATAGAGTGAGGCAATGGAAGGGCCACTCAAGTCCCTTGTTCTCTTCTCTGAGCCATGAAGGGCTCTGCTCCTCTGATGAGCTGTTTTATTTGTTTTATTCCAGATCTAGAGATCCCAACTGCTTGAAACACTTGATCCCAACTGCAGGAAACACCCTGAACCCCTGCCAGGCCTGGATGGGTGGATCAGTGCACACAGGGGAGACAGAGGCTGCCTCGCACAGCAGCCCCACAGGACCCTGAGCTCAGCCCACACCAGCACCCTGCCAGTCCCCGCACCTGCCTCTGGGCAGCAGCTCCCAGACAGCAACGGTGCCACCCGGTGGCAAAACTGAGCACGAGGAGAGCAGAGGGGATCCTCACCAGAGCATCACCCACAGGGAGCAAGGGCTCCTGGGGAACACCCGGGTTGGTCCACAGGGAGTTGTGCAGGAAGACAGCAGGGCAGGCTGGCACAGTGTGCTCATGGCATCATTGCTGCAGCCAAAAGCCACAAGACTTTTGTTTTGGCAGACATAAGAGCTTGGCCATTTCTTGGAGAAGCTGCAAAAGCAAAGGAGACATGAACCTCCTCTCCTTCTTCCATGCCCTGCTGTTCCCGCTGTTCCCATCGTGTCTGCAGAGCAGCAAGAGGCCAGGCTGCAAGGGACCTTGGCCCTCACCAGTGAGGCACAGACACCACAGCCCATCCCGCAYGTGAGCGGGAGTCCAGCCCTTGGCAGGGACCAAGCCAACAGCCAYGCACCGGCTGTTCATCGCAGCACACAGCGCCTGCAGAGCCCGTGTTACTTCTGGCAGGACCTGATCACTGCTTACAACTTCAGCTTTTCCTCCTGCTGGCTTATACTGTACCTTGAGCCTCATGCTTCAACTTCTTCATAATCYAGCTCCTAAAATCTGCTTATTCTCCATAAAAGTTTCAGCACAGACACACAACAGCTCAGTTTCAGACTCACCTGAGCCTGGCTCCAGGCTCCTGAGGCACTAGGCTGGTCAGGACTCCCGTTAYGCAGTCATCACACATGAGGCTTTGCACACCAGAATCCAACTGTACCTTGGGATTACCAATATACCTTCCCTAAGATAGAAGGGAAACAAACAGCCTGTTTTCTTCTCCTTGCAGTCTCAGCAAAAGCAGCACYACCCTTGCTAAAGATGTACTAGCTTCTTATCTGAGCCATTTCTAAGAGAAACAATCCCCAGAGAGGGAATTTCAGCTTAGTCAATATTGCACCGAGACACTAGCTGCAGCATGACTTGATTTGTGCGAGGCTAAATGAAGCCTTTGCAGAAGCTAATTACTGTTTGTTTCATGTGGCCCRTTGGGTGATGGCTGCAAGGAAACACTTCAAATGAGAAGCGACACCAGGCACAGGCTGGTGCACTGGGGACAGCTCCCTCCTTTCCACACAAGGCCTGCTAGGCCAGCACAGACAGTTGGCTGAAGGCCTTAAACACCAATAGAAACCAAGTTATCAGGTGCTTACATTTGAGGGTGCCTCACCTCTTCACAAGTGGCCTCCTCAGCTCCCTTCCCATAGCAGCAGTTAAAGGCAGTGCCAGCAGATGGCAACCCAGGAAGAAATTTCACTTCGTAATGGCCCTTTCAAGTCATGACAGCAAAAAGCATCTTTCCCGCTTCGGCAAAGCTGCAAGAGGATCAGAAAGTGTTTTTGCTCATTGCAGTTGATCTCTGAAGGGGATKTGAGGTTAAAGCAAATATTTGAGTATTTTAGACATTTTCCATGTTCCCCTACTTAGGGCTTCCCTTTAGGAGAAGCCTTTAGGTGTGCTGTACAGCACTTTGGGCATACCTGACTGCTCCCCATCAAGCAGTGCTGAGGGCCTGGTTAAGTTTTGTGCACACAAAACCTTGAAGAGTAAAGAGTACTTTAACACCGGGAGTCTCTGCAGATTTTTAGAGACCATTAAGTAGAAGGCCTGACGATCCCTGCAGCAGCAAGAGCCTTTTCAGTAGGAACAAGGCTCTATTTGAGCCCAAAACTGAAGTRTCAGGATACACTGGTGTTCAAGGCCATCCTTGAGCCTGTGCTTTGGTGACTGCAGTGTGGAGAGATTAAATCAACCGTCTACTTAACACTCTATTGTGCCCTAAGCAAAGGCACCACTTCAGGAACTCCAGCTTCCTTGAAAAGCAGTGAAAAATTGATCAGCATCCCTATACATCAACCCCATCAGAGAAGGGTGACCACTGTGGAACCATTAAAAAGAAGCGAGAGGCCTGGCAAGGGAAGCGACCCCAGCAATGCCCAGCTAATGCACAGGGAGGGGACACGAGGTGCCAGCCACTGACCTGCTGATGGAGCTGGGGCTCGTAATTAGGCTCTGGAGTGGCTGTGTTGGAGGGCTGCTTTCCACCTCCTCATCCAGGGAGGAGATTAGCAGTGGTTTTATGCTAATATACATTGGCTGAAGAGCTAGTAATTTTAAGGGATACAATTAGATTTGGGAAAGGAACTTATTAATATTCATCTTTGCTTCTATAAATACATTTCTAATCCACTGAAGGATTTAGCAGGCTGTGGATGTTGGAGGTACCACTGCATGCACTGGACTTATTAAGGAGCAGGAGCTGCAGAAGGTCACACASGGGTGAGGGCAGCAGCAAACCCTGCTGGGACAGCAAGGGGCACAGGCTGCCCAGCTGCAGAGGCCGCAGCAAACTRGGGGTTACACTGACCTGAGAGCTTGATGCACCCCAGGACACACTCACACAAGAGGTCTCTCTAGCAGCTGCCACAAGCAACAGTTCTGGCTCAATCTCTTGAGCAAACTCCCTTCACCTCAAACCTCTCATACCAATTTCAAGTTATTCTCCTTTAACAGGGCAGTCTCGAGTTTCTGAAGAGTCCCATTATCTCCCTTTACCCCAAAGGGATGCAGAGAGCAAATACAACCTGGGCTAGAGCTAAACACAGCAGAGACTGGCCCATACCACTTGCAGTCACAGCAGCAGAGCATTATTCTAACTCCCCTCTTACAGAGGTACTGGTGCTGCCAAAGCACCCAGAGGGACAAGGGAGCCATGAGCAAAGCAAATTTACAGCGTAGAAGACCCAAGGTTTTAAATACAGGTGAGAGATTTCCAGAGGGCTAAAACAAGGAATTCACAGAAGTAAATATGTCACCACTTAGACACCATCTAGTAGGTAGAAGCCACATCCCAGGTCAGGGAAAGGGATTTGGGTCCCTTTACACTCTGCATACCAGCTAGAAAAATAGTCATAGGGCAGGTAAACTGAGGGCAAGCAGTCCTAAACTGATAGTTATCATTAGGCTAGCTCTGTGATGGATTCAGAACAACTTCAATGAAAAACTTTACTAGCAGAAAAAGCATCCTTCAGAACAGGAAAGGGGCAGTAATTCATTCCGGTATAACAGTTTCCTGAGCTAAACAGCATTGGATTTGTTTCTGGAATAAGCAGCTCATTACCTCAGCCCGTGGCAGAGGCAGCAAGTGGCAGCCATCTGGAGGGCCGGGTGGCCTGGTGCCAGCAGAGCTTTGATGCCACAGCCAAGCTGCAGAGCAGCAGTGGGTTAGGGCAGTGAGCAGGGGCACAGCTCAGGCAGAAGGAGAGCAAGGTGAGGGACACATAAGAAAAAGCTAAGGAACAGAAAACTGCTTTAAGAGTCTAAGGTCTGACTGTGAAAAGCAAGCAGATGTTAGAAACAACTATTTCCAGTCTGTTTGCTAGTACAAAGACAAGGAAAGAAGTTAGCAAACCACAAAGCATGAAGAGAAAATAGAGGCTTAAGGAGCTTTTCAGGAAATCACTGAACTGAGTGCACCAAGTGAAGAAACCCCAGGTCTGCTGCAGAGCTAAAAGAGGATTTTCCCCTCAAACAACAACACTGTAGTGTGACCAGCAGCAGTGCACCAATTCAGCTGCTGCCTATCACATGGAGAACTGGCTCTTGCTAGGTACCTAAGTTTAAAAATAGAAACAGCAACATAAACAACAACAATAATAACAAAAAAGAATTACCACCTATTTAAAAAAAGCCCCTCAAAGTAGGAGCTCAAAATAACTCCAGCACAGCTCCCAAAGCTCAGCTACAGCCACCTGCCTGTGCTCACCAAGGCCTTATSTAGCTTTGAAGCCCAGGCTTGTCCAACAGGATTGGCTAAGAGCAGGGGCCAGGTGAGGCTCATCAGAGGAAATTGGGCAGGATAATTTGCCCTGGTTTTCCATGGCATTGGGCTGTAGTAAACAAAGTGAAATGCCTTATCAGGGCCCTAGTTTTATACTAGCCCCATGGGAAGAAGTTTGTTTCTCTGTCGTGGACTCTTCTGCTGGGAGCTCTCTGCAGGGCACTGGTGCTCATCTCCGCCACACAAGGGCATCGCTCAGCCTGTGGCTCGTGCTCCTTGAAAAGTCAAGGCTCCTGCCTGTCTCCCACTATTCTGCCTCCCCCTTTTCCCTCCTCTTCCCCTCAGGCTCCTTAAAAAAGTTGTTTGAGTGTTTAGGAGGCTGCATGTGTGAGTCATGCCAGCGGACAGCTAAAGCTCTGCTGCCCTCTCTATTGACGCCTTTCTGCAGAAGCCRGGGAGCACAAAGCCCTCTCTGTAAGGCAGACGTGCAACCTGGTTTGAGACGAAAAAAATACTCTTTGCCCAAAGGAAAATGTGCTACCTCGGGCTAATTCTAGGGAAATGTCCTGTCACCAGATGATCAGGAGGCCATCAGCAAACACTGCTGTGGTAGCCCCAGGCTTGTGGGCTGGGTCAGGTCAGGGTCCCCTGGGCCTGTTTGTCCCRGACATAGCTGGGCAGCTGCTTCTGAGGCTGCTGTCAAAACTACGGGGATGATACCTGGGCAATAACCTCCCCATAGGTTGTTTCTCAACCCCAGATAGTTACTGGTTCTTCCACACTGTCAAGTTTGGGGATTTTTTTAATCCATTATAATTTTATAAATAACTCTTTTTKGGGGCCGTGAGATCCTTGACAGCATCCAGAAACTATGAATCCTAGAGGTTAGTCAGAGGCTTTCTGGCATTCCCTGTAYGAAGCAGTTGTTAGTGGATCCTCCTGTTTATTCCGGCTTATTGAGGCTCATGGCTGTTTACAAGGAAGTATTAACACCAAATAAAACAACATAATGGGATATGCCTGAAGATGTGGTTGGTATTTTTGGCTTCTAGGATGTCAATCCATTCTTTCTCAGTGGCAGAAATCTCAAAGGAAATGAAATTGCTATTGCTGTGAGCTTAAGCATCAGCCAGATTCTGCATCCAAGAGCTGAACAAACCCTTCATCAATATATGGATCATACAGATGTAAATGGAAACAGTGTGGTTCTGCCCTCTGCATCTCAGACACTGCTCTGAGCCCAGAGATGGCTGGCRACACAAAATGAACCTTTGAATGACTCACTCACAAGGCCTGCCCACACGGTCAAGGAAGCTGAGGATCTTCTGCATATAGTAAAAGCAAACCCTCAGTGCCAGCCCCCAGCTGCTTATATTATATGAACCCAAACTTTGCTGATCTGGGAGGCAAGTAAGTCTGAGAATTTGGAGTGTTCCAAGCAAAAAAAAAAAAAAAAAAAAGAGTTTGCAGACGATTTTGCTTTGTACTTTCTATTCTTTGCACACCCCACCAACTCAGTCACTCCATTACATTATGATCACAGGTGGTGAATTTGACAACTAATCCAACGCAACAGGAAAATTTAGATGACAGAAGCAAGCAAAGCTAAGTCCCCAGAGGAACAGTGATTCCAGCTGGCTGTCTCAGTCTAGGACTGGCCAGGACAAAATTTGTGGACATTTTCTCCTCCCATTGACCTAGCAGCTATTTGGGAGCAGCTGATGCAGCAGCAGGTCCTTTTTAAGTCCAGCTTTTGGAGTCCTGGATTTTAGTTGTGCTCTCTGCTGCTGCGTCTCGGTGGCTCTGCACTGTGTGACCTACAGACAGTTGCCATCTCAGCCCAGTTCCCTGCTCGGCAGTTCTTCCACTCTCGCTGCYGCCCTCTGCTAGTGGCACCAGTACCTGTATTCCATGTTTGCTTCCTTTTCTGTTCTCTGTGAATCTTACTCATAAAACAGGTAGTCCTGGAGAGACTGGCAGATTCCTGGTTGGACTATGCAGGTTTGTTATCGACCACCCCTGGGAAGGGGAGCGGTGGCCTGGAGGTGTCTGTGGGGACTGTGGGACCCTCGAGTCCTCCAGAGACCCTGCTGGGACACCCCAGCCAYGGTGCAGGGCCAGCAGCCATAGCACCACTCTGCCAGCTAATGAAAAAAGTAAAATAAAATCCAAGGTTCATCTGAGGCCATCAAGGACAGAAAGCATGACGTTTGTCTGTGGGTTTTGTTTCAGGGGGCGCCTGCCTGTGGGTGCTGCTGTGGGAGAGCGGCGCCGCAGCGAGAAGCTGCCGGCTCCGGGGTGGCTGTGCCGGCGCAGGGCGCGCGCTGGCCTTTCCAGCCGAGCCTGGCTGCCCGCCTGGGCCAAGCACACATTTCCCGAGACTTCAAGCAAGTCTTTCAGACAAAATGTACTGAAGCAAAGAGGAGCAGAGCGAGRTGATGTAAGAGAAGAGGCAGCAGCAAGGTCAGCAGCGCAGAGCTGAGCCCCGTCTTCTCTTCCTGCGCTCTCTGCTTGGGAACAAGAGA